CAACATCTGGTGATAAATATAGAAATTGCAACTCGCTGACATGAATTCATCGGGCGAGATAATCGCGCACCTCTTTTGATATAAACCGGCCGTCTCACTGTAGTGGCGTGTCAAATTTTTGTATTAACAAATTTCTTTTTTTTTTAATTTTTTTATTTATATATGTGTATATGCATGTATTTGTGTATATACCTGTCCCTACATATTGCACACATTCAGCCACGCGTACCGTCCTTCAGAGGACCGCGCAAAGCGCCCCACCAGGAATCCAGCCTTATTTTGTTTATTATAATTATTATTTTGTCGCCTAAACGTATGTATTTTTGTGTTAAGGTGTCCTCTGTATATTCTTTTGTTGATTGTTAGCTTCTGGAATTTGGTCTTGTCTATCCTCGTTACTTGGTTGTCTGGGAGATTGAATATAACATTGAAGGGATCATTGTTATTGTTTCCACTAATATTGATTGTACCTTTTCTGGGCCAGAGGAAGATTGCAGATGAGGATGCTACCACTTTGCCCTTTGTTGTTTCCAGCCTATAAGTGCATTGGCATATCTGTTTCTCAATTTTATTCATCATGCAGCTCAGGCATTCGAATGTATTGGAGTTGCGAATCGCGCTTTCTGGGCATATGCGAGTGAGGCCCTTTTGATAGCAGTATCCAGGTCTTATTTCTCCTAAAGCCTTGCTGTTTATGTCGGTGAATATTAGATCCGGGATCAGTGGAATCAAGGAATGGGTTGAGTTCAGGAGTTTTCCCAAGGTGATAGAGTGCCAGGTTGACCCATTATTAATATTTATGATGAGAGGAGTTTTAATTCTTATTGCCAAGTTGAGAGTTGCCGGGTCCAGAAATCCTCCAACAACCTTAGAGAATCTACTGATGCTTCTAAAGTCTCTATTATAGATGGTATCATCAAGTTCAATGGAAGCTTTGGTCAGGGTTCTATATAGATCTTTGTCAACCAAATTGTGGTGTAGATCCCCTCTATGTATTGATTCCATAAAGGAAGTCGTGTCCGCTATTATGGTCATGATGTACGAATCTATATATTTTTCTCACTGCTCCTGCATTCCAGTGTGCGGAGTTTCCTGTTGATCCTATTTGTGACAGCCATTATGGCCAAGTTGTTTTCGTGCACTATTTTAATGTTTTCTATAGTGGCGTTTAGTTTGTCAGAGAGTACTTTCTGGTTGTGATAAAGGTTCTCCAGTTCCCTTTCATCCTTTCCGCTACTTATACCAGTTAGCCAAGAATAGACCTCTTTAGCTATAAAACCAAAAATAATCCCAGCGCTTACCCCTCTCTTTGTTCTTCTGGGTCTCATTGTTGGGCGCGCTTCCAGTTCTTTGAGTAAGAGAAGTCTAGTTCTGGTTTTTAGAGCTTCAATATCAGTTTTGTTCAAGCAATTCCCAGCATTAAAGAGCGGGAGGATGGGGAACACGATGTTGAAGGAGATATCTTCAGAGGTGAGCATCGTAGGGCTTGTTTCTTCCAAACTGATTTTTATGTTTGATGTGAGCGCTATTTAAAGGGAAAGATAGTCGTCTCGCGATATTAGGTGTGATTCAACAGATGCGGTGTCCTAGCCGCGTCATTTCAGTAGAGATAGTGGTTATGAGAAAGATATTCATCTTTTGTATAGGAGGGGATTTGGGTAAGAGAATCCACTACAAACGCAGCAGGACACATACCCACATAAACCCCACTGTGTAGCACAACCATACCACACATCAAGATTCGCACAAATACACTGCGTGACATTGAAAATGGAACACCAAGAAATAGTGGCCAGAAAGTGATGAAACTCGGCAGACAGAGAGAGACAGGGACGAACAATAAGTGATCTTTATTTCAAAATGATAGTCATAATACAGAGCGAGAACGGCGTCGGCTTAGTAGCAAGTAGGACCACCGCGGATGGCGATGCACGCAGCAACACGTCTAGGTAGAGAGTCAATCAGAGTACGGATGGCGTCCTGAGGGATGGCTCTCCATTCCCTCTCAACCATTTGCCACAGTTCGTCTTCTGAACGCGGCTGTGGCAAGGCATGCAAACGGCGTCCAATGATGTCCCAGACGTGCTCGATTGGTGAGAGATCAGGAGAGTACGGTGGCCAGGGAAGCATCTGTACATCTTGCAGAGCTTGTTGGCTAATGCGAGCAGTGTGCGGTCGGGCGTTATCCTGCTGATAAAGGGCATTTGGTACCCCCTGAAGGTAGGGGAGTGTCACCGGTCGCAGTACATCATCAACGTATCGTTGGGCCGTCATAGTGCCCTGAATACGAAGTAAAGGTGACCTGGAATCATACGCGATTGCGCCCAAACCATGATTCCACGTTGTCGCACGGTGAGGCGTTCCACAATTGCTGCCGGATTGGACCTTTCTCCATGTCGACGCCACACGCGTACACGGTGACTATCACTGGACAAGCAGAAACGCGACTCATCTGAGAACACGACCCTGTGCCATTCTGTCATCCACGTCGATCTAGCCTGGCACCATTCCAAACGTTGGCTCCTATTCGGTGGGGTCAATGGCAGTCTTCTTAGCGGACGGCATGAGTGCAAGCCATTAGCAACCAATCGACGGGAAATGGTTCTGGTCGAGATGGAATGATCTAGGGTGTCTTGCACATGTTGCAGGATGGCGGTACAAGTGGCTTGTGGGGCCGCCACTGCTTGTCGAAGGATACGCCGATCCACATGTGCTGACGTCACTCTGGTTGCACCGGCATTCCTATAAATTGCCACATTTCCTTGTTCCAACCATCTTCTCCACAGTCGGTGCACCGTGGACGCACCAAGGTGTGTATCAGCTGCGATTTGACGTATGGACCAACCTGCCCTTTTCAGTCCGATCACCATGCCCCTCGTAAAAGCGTCTGTCTGCTTGAACTGCCTCCGTTTACGATGACCTGGCATTCTCTGTTATTACACGTGTCTTTTGACACAAGAACAAAATTTCTACAATGATTTTCCTTGAAGAAATAACGACACGAATACTGTCCTTTCTGCAAGTTCCTTCCCTTATATCTTACTCCATGTGCACACGAGAGCTGCGCATTTTACATCATTTGCATAACTCGGTTAGGCGCGTCTACCCTGAAATTTGCATAATTTTCTGGCCACTATTTCTTGGTGTTCCATTTTCAATGTCACACAGTGTATATATCCTGCTACATGTATTGATTAAATGCTTTCTTGGTAAGGCAGAAACGGTGCCTAACAGGAACCGTGAGTAGGTCCAAGGTTTGATACAAAGTGGAGGATTCCTGTGGCAAAGTCTATTAGTTGCTTTTAATGATCAGCAAGGATATGTGGCTTGTTGATGTTGGCCTCGCAAAGCCATTGTGGGCGGATGTGGTGAAGGGATTGGCAAGCGAGTAAGAAGTGTTCCGCATTGGCGGATTCCTCCCCACAGGAGCATCGTGTTAGGGGTTTGATATTAAATCTAGCAAAGCCACGCGTACCATCCTTCAGAGGACCGCGCACAGCGTCCCACCGGGAATCCAGCCTTATTGTGTTTATATTGGAAAGGTAGAATCAGTGCCTAATTGGAACCGTGAATTGGTCCAAGGTTCGACACGAAGTGAAGGATTCTGGTGGCAAAGTCTATTAGTTGCTTCTTATGATCAGCTAGGATATGTGGCTTGTTGATGTTGGCCCCGCAAAGCCATTGTGGGCGGATGTGGTCAAGGGAGTGGCAAGCGAGTAAGAAGTGTTCTGCGTTGGCGGATTCCTCCCCACAGGAGCACCGTGCTGGGGGTTTGATGGGGGAAGGGGCTGTGGCCAGTCATTATGCAGTTCAACACATGAGAGCTACTAATCCTTTTAGGGTTTACTAGTTTAATCCAATCAAAGAGTGGTCTACCCTTCAGCGAGGTTTACCATGATTGTTGCCATTCGCTTAGCGGATTTTTAAAAGAGTTCTTCTTATGCGCAGATTTGGGTATTGGTAGCGGGGTAAATGGGGAAGGGTATTTGTAAGCGTTTCTGGCCAAGGAATCCGCTCTTTCATTCCCTTCTAGTCTGACGTGCGCCTTTACCCAGTGAAAGCTAATAGTTTTCCCAGATTCTATAATGTTTTTTATTGTAATTTCATTTCTTATCACAGTCCAGCTTTTGTTAAATGGGCTAGACAGGGCTTCTAGTGAGGACAGACTATCACTGGCAATTGCGATGTGGTTAAGTGATTGTGTAGAGAACCACTCGAGGGCTTTGAAGATTGCCAGACCTTCGGCCTGGAAGACAGAGTGTTTTTCAGGAATAACGTATGACCTCTCCAGAATCACGCTATTTCTATGATATAGGCACCATCCGGCCCCTACCATATCTTCCGTCTTTGAACCATCGGTATAAATGGTGTGGACAATGGATGAGTCCGGGATGGTTTTCTCATATTTTTCCAGTCGAACTTGGGCTGGGTGACAGTACCACTGTTGGCAGGGCAGATCGATTTTATAAGGGCCAGTGAAAGGATTAGTAACTGCAATGGTTTCAAAGTGCCTTTTGTAAAATTATGATTTTGAGCGTCTGATCGTTCTTTTGTATCTGGCTAAGGCCAGTTTATATCTCTGTGTCCTATTTATTCTTAACATATCGTCATTTAGTGTGTTCTTCATTAGTCTCTTTAATGCCATAACTCTCTTTTTCTGGATATGTAGGTTTTCACTCCACCATGTGTTCCCTTTCCGTCTTATATTGTTGCTATCATGTGTGTTTTTAATCAGGGCCGTACAGGCGTCGCGGATTATTTTAGTTACACCTTCCACCCGTGCGTCTATCCCCTCTATCGTGGGGCATGAAGTGTCTATTGGTTCCAACGTTTTCAGCCTATTGCAGACTATTTCCTGGTATCTGTCCCTGTGTCTAATAGTGACATTGTACCTCGGGAGTGGCGGTTTATAGGGGGAATTGTGCACTGTTGAGTTAAGTTCCAGCATTATACTAATGTGGTCACTTATACTAAGGAAGGGTTCAGCCTTCCATAAGAGATTATTAGAGATGTTTTGGGAAGCAAACGTGTGGTCTATGTGAGAGGCAGTTCTATTGTTTACAAATGTAGGGGTATCAGTCTCAGAGATAATTTCTTAATTGTTGGTGAAGATGAAGTTGTATAGATCATCTCTTCTAGCATCGCTGATATTACCACCTAGAGTTCTGTGGTGTGCATTAAAGTCTCCCATGATAATGTGATTGTCTGGTCCTACCTTGTTGCAGACGGAGGACAGGTTGTCGAGGAGAGAAGTGAATGCGTTGTCACTCTGGGATTGGTCCACAGGGGGGATGTAGCAATTGGTGATGCTCAGGGTCTCCTGTCCAATCTGGATCTGGATTGTTTCTGTGTATGTGGATGTCTGAAAACAAAAACTGCATAGTTGTGGGTTAGCCAGGATCCAGGATTTATTATCGAGACTAGAGATCTGCCAGCTCATTTTGAATTTATCACCATTAGGTGGCGGTTCTTGTTACAGGATAAGATCTACAGTCTCAAGGTCGGCGTGATGTAGGAGATTATCAAGGCTGGCATAGCCTCGACCAATGTTTTGTGAGAAAATCTTTAAAGTCATATATATGTAGTTTTTTTTTTTTTTGGGAACTGGTTATGGTAATATATGGATTTTAATATATGTCAGATTTCATCGATGTGACCTTGTTTTTGTAGCATTGACACCTGTAGGCCATGGAGTGGTGATTGGTTTCAAGCTTCCTGGTGGAGTTTGCCATATTTGCCTTTATGCAATTGATGCATTTGGGTTCTTTTTGACAATTGGTGTCTAGGTGGTCTGCGGCTCCGCAGTTCATGCATAGAGCTTCTTCTTTTTTGCAGTTTTTGGTGCCGTGGAAGCCTGCGCACTTCATGCATCTTAGTGGTAGTACGTCCTCAATCCACTTCAATGTCGTCCAGTCTCCACTGATTCTTTGGAGACCGTTTTCTAGCGTGGGGGCGGATTTTAGTTTGTCGAAGGAGGTCTGGTCTATGGTGGCATACCAAGTGTGTCTATCAAATTTGTCCTTGTAGTGTCTGAAAGGTCTAATGTCGGGGTTTTCGAGGTTCCCCATCCTTTGGACATATTCAGTGATCTTTTTTTCAAGGTTTTTATCGATACCGATTAGTTTGATAGTTGGGGCTCGTCCTTTCGGGATTTTAGCCGAGATTTTGTCATTGTCTGTAGATTTGTTAAGAATGTCAGCAATTTTATTTGCGTCACTCGTTTCTGGTACTTCAATGATGCTGCCCTTGTTCCTAAGGGGGGTTAATTTGGTCCTCTTAATTCCGAGTTCCGTTGGTGAGATATGTTTTTTTATGAGGGCTATAACATCCGTTTGATCAGGGAATTTGGCCTCTATGATCACCTTCCCTTTTAGTATGGTTTGGTCTATTGGTGCCCTATGTGGGCGTGGCACAGCGGGGTTGGTGGGTACGCGGGCCTTTACTAAGCCTTCAGCCAATTTCTTATTTATTTTTTCTTCCGTGGCCTTTAATTTTTCAGTAATAGAGGTTGGACATTTCCCAGGTTGGAAATGGTCTTACTCTCCATAGTCCCCAAAGTTTTTCTGATGGTATCTTGATTATTCGAATTTCTGTTATTGTTCTCCATAATGTCCCTGGCCGTCGATGTAATATCTTTACAAGATGTAGAAATATTTGCGTTCAAGGTTTCTATGTTGGATATAATGTCAGAATCTTTTGTATCAATGCGACTTTCGAGTTCGGTTAGTTTGGTCGCGATGCTCCTTTCAAGTTTATTCATGATTCTCTTCTCAGTTTCCTTAAGGGCTGATTTCATTGTTGTAGTGAGTATATCTAGAAGTGAGTCTTGGGCTGTTTGGAAAAATTTTGTGATTTGCACAGTTAATTCTTCCTTAATTTCATCAACGCATCCTTCCAGTTTGTCTTTGCATGTAATCATTCTAGAATTCATATTTGAAATTTCTGTGCCTATTGTTTTAGAATTTTTACATAGCATTTCTACCCTTCCCAGTAGCGCGAAGTTGCCTATTTCCTGAGGCAATTGGTCCAAAAGTGCTTTCCCATTTGAGAGTGTTGTTTTGAAAAGATATTTTGTAGCCTTATCTTCCAGTGCTTTAGCTTTGGTGTTCACAATCTCTTCAAGGTTTCCGATAAAAGGGGCGTAGGCAGGGAAGAAGTTTTGTACTTTGGATAAGAATTTCTCTCCCATATTGTGGGTAATTTTTTTTTTAAATAAATAATTCTTATATATATATTATAATATTAATATATTTTGAAGAGTGGTTTGATATATAGGTATTCAACTTAGGAAGTTTTCACTAATTTGAGTGGTAACGATACCTTAGTTGAGGAGCTTGGCTTGAGAGGTTTTCACTCGTCGAGATCTTGATGCTGACTAGAGATAGGGACATTCTAGGATCAGATTACTACCCAGGCCTGGGAGGCCCATAAGTATTAACCCTCCTTTTTAATACGAAACCTTACAGCCCTCTGGTTGGCAGGAGGGTATGTTTTACTTCATCTTCTTTCAACCACACCAGGGGGAACGGACAAGGAAAACCCCCCCCCCCCCCCCCCCTGATTCTACCAGCATGCAGACAACCAAGTATTCTTGGCTTCCTTAAGATGTTCCACACTAGGACTAGGTACTCTCCTGTACCCAAGAACCTTCCATCTCTTCGGAAGTTAGAACCTCGAGGTCTCTCCACTGCCTAGAGTCAGAGGGTTTTGTATACCGATTGCATTTCGCCATGACAAGGTAAGTGCAGAAATTACCTTGTCATGCCCACGGGGCGCTGCGGGGAAGCAGCAACCGGTAGACCCTGGTTCACCACCCACCTTGCGATCCACTCGATCGTCAGTCTTCCTTTCAGCCTTACTAGCACTCCACTAGATCATCGGCAAGCAACCCACTGTGGTCAACTGTGACACCTAACAGTTGAGGAAGAGCTCACTAGCGACATCGTGAGCTCTTTCCAATAACCTCCAGTGGGATTTCAGGAGCTCCAGTTCATTTGCCCCTCTAACCCTACTACTTTCTTCCACCCCTCTGGGAACCCTCGGGCAATCCACTATAAAGTGTTTGGCACTTGCCCCAGGGCTCCCACATACGCAGTTATCGTCCGTCTTAATGCCAAAACGCGCCAAACTGAGAGGAAACAGGCCGTTCCCCGTGATAATTCTGTTCAGTTTGTGCGAGAGGATTTGTCCGTTTCTTTTAGGAGTTCTTACCCATTTGAACGTCTCGCGACCGTTTATTGACTCTACCCATAGATTTTCCCACAGCCCATCTATATGCGCCCGGATACGCTTATAAGTCTCTTTCTTTGGAATTGGGGTCACCACATCCCTTCCAGACCAGCATCCCTCTTTTGCCAGTTTATCAGCTAATTCATTACCCTCAATTAGAGAGTGCCCTTTCACCCAGCACAACTCGGGGGGATTATCCATGACTTTTAGCAGATCCACGATTCCATGCGCCATCTGACCTTTCTCCAATGAGATGGAGACAAGGGCAGACATGCAATCTGAGTAAATTGCTTTGGGAGACAGACTTTCTCTCCTGCACCAGATCAGAGCTTCTCTGATAGCGACCAGTTCTGCTGAATACACCAGCTCATCGTGCCTTAGTTTCAGTGTTTGTTGGCCCACTACCAAGCCTTCACTGAAAATGGCAATGCCAGCCCCAGTCTTCTTACCATATTTGCTCCCGTCTGTGAATATTTCTAGTTCTTTGCCAGACGGTGAGCCCTCAGACCACTTCCATCTTGGTTCCCATTCCACACCCTTATCTGGATCCTTCGCCCAATCAAGCTCCTCAGGTGAAATGCCTAAGTCATTTTGTGTTCTTTCAACCCAGATAAGCTGCCTCAGTTTCTCTTTCTCCAGCCTTAGAGAAACAGGAGTCAGACCCGACATCACCAGCAAGGCTTCTGTACTGGTAGTACAGTACCCCTCAGTGATCCTCAGAGCCGCTACTCTCTGTACTGCCTCCAAAGTTGCACCAACCTTCCTGTCATGGTTCCTCTTCCACCACGCTCTTGAACCATACAGGAGAATTGGCTCAACACAGCTGAGGTAGAGATTCCTGAAGATCTCCCCTTCCCTGCCTCCTTTAAGGAGTGCCAATCTGCAGAGTCTCGATAGTGCAGACTTAGCCCTCAGCCCTATGTCCTTGGCATGCTCCATCCAGCTCAAATTGTTATTAATTACCACACCAAGGAGTTTCATTTGTTTCACTATTTGTATCCTTTCGTCCCCCAGCAGTAGTAAGGGCTTATGTTCATATTCAACGCCAGTCCGTTTGGCGCGCACGTCCCGCGATTTGAAACTCAGAGCCTGTGTTTTGCTCGCGTTAAATTCGAGCCCCGCCAGTTCAACCCAGACCTTTAACCTCCTGATGCTTTCATTGGCCAGAGCCTCGGCTTTTCTTCGGGATTTCTCACGTATAATAAGGTAGGTGTCCTCAGCATAGGCTACCATACAGGAGCCTACTGGAAGTTCCTTGTGGAGAATAGTGTCAGCAACTATATTTCACAGTATGGGACCGCAGCAGGAACCCTGAGGGCAGCCCTTTGACAGTATTCGGTGTATCTCTACCGCACCTACCTTGATTGAGACCCGCCTGTCTCGTAAAAAATCCCTTACTAAATTCAGCAGGTTAAAGGGACATCCCTTTGTATCGAGGGCATGTACAACCATATTCCAATTTAGGTTGTCAAATGCGCCAGAGATATTGAGGGAGATTGCGATCACCCAGTCCCCTCTTGCCCAAAATCTCTTCAAGACAAGTGGTTGTAGATCGACCCCTCTTAAAGCCGTGTTGGGAACTGGAAAGGTGTCCGCCAGATTCTAGCCACCTTGTCAGTCTTTGTGCCAGAAGACTGTCCAGCACTTTTCCCAAACATGAAAGGAGAGACACAGGCCTATAATCCTTTGCTGTAGCGCCTGTCCTACCACTCTTGTCAAGCAACGCGATCCTCGCTGCCTTCTACGCCCTCGGAAACCTACCCAATTCCATGCAGCGATTGTATAACCTGGTAAGAAGCGGCCCATGACTTCTTACCAGAGCCTTCACGATGGTGTTGTCAATACCATCGGGACCGGGGGATTTTCTGGTCCCAAACTTGAAGGCTGTCCTCTTCACCTCCCTCTCGGTGAAAAGTGGATCCATGCACCCCCTACTCGTCGACACCACTTCACTCTCCAGGTGCCCCACCCCGAAGTGCACGTCCAGAATGTGAGACAGCGTATCCGAGAGGTCAAGAGTGTGCGAACCATAACTCTTCCTTAATAACTTTAATGCCGTGGGATTTCGAAACTTATCTGCGGCCAATTTGTATGGCAAGCCATACTTATCGTCCGTCAGTGTCCTGCTACACTGAGCCCGCCAATGACCTCTGCGCGCTTTCCGCGTTCTCTTTTTGTACTTGGCCAATTCCGCCCTGTACCGTGTCCATTTCTCTACTCTTTCGCTTTCATTACATCTCTGCGCTCTCCTTCTTAGTGCTCTTATACGCTTGCGCTCCACCTCGAGGTCATCACTCCACCAGGGCTGCTTTTTCCTCTTAAGGAAATAACAGTTCCAGGTCCAAGACCTCTGCTCGTAGTAATGATATCAAGGTGAAACCCGTCTACGGCACTATCCAGATCGTCATCATCCACTGCCCGTTCTAGGTCATTTTCAAGTTCAGTGTTGAACTTTTCGAGAAACCTCGCAATGTTCTCTCCCCTGACACTATACCTGGGAGTCCTCTCTACAGAGGCCGGGTTCGCTGAACTTTTTGCTGTGAAGCTAATTAGCTTGTCACTAGCATCAGTAAACTCGGCTTTCCAAGAGTCTTTAATGAGTCCACTTCCCTTAAATAGAGTTAGGTCTATTACGCTTTCACCCATTTGCGTACAAAAAGTCGGAGTGCCCCAATCGTTCCATACCTCCAGACCATGAGATATTATTAGGGCCTCAAGATTTCTGCCCCTAGTGCTGTCCTCTCTATCTCCTAGGAAGAGCGAGCGAGCATTGAAATCACCAGTTATTAGCACGTTTTCAATCCCAACATTTCTACACATTTGACCCAATAGTTCGAGCACGCCTTGCTCCGTTTCACTAGGCGAAATGTATACCGAAATGCATAGCAGCTTGAGATCCGCTGTCTCAATCATAACTTCTACTACGCCCCACCAGGAGCCATACTCGACACAAAGAACGTCACCCCGGACCAAGATACAGGCCTTCCTACACCCGCTGTAGTAGGTTTTGTACCTTGTGTCCACCCACATTTTGTCCCTTGAAATGTACGGCTCCTGCACCGACACCACATGAAATCCCTCTGCTTTCATGTGTCGGTCCAATTCCTCGTTCCCCCTTCTTGCCCTAGCTGCGTTCAGCTGAGCAAAACTCCACCGATATGGTGCTGGCGTCACCATGATCGGTTTTGGAGATGCCAATGCCTTACTCCACAGGATTTGGATCTGGGCGTGTGATCCACCCTGTACTTTTTCTTGGACCTCTCATTTGCCTCTTTACAGAGCCAGCATCCCACTGACTCGAGGCAAGGTCCGTCCACTTCATGTGCTGACTCACATTTGTGGCATCGCCATGGGTTTCCACACTGTGTCGCCAGGAGGCCCATGCCTTTACAATGTTGACAGAAAGGTATTCTCTTGTTCACTGTCACGCTTCTAAACCCTATGGCCAGTTTCTTCAAGCCTTTAAGCTTCTGGCCGATCTCCCCATTTGTTACTAGTACCCACGTCTGGGTTCCAGCACCCCTAGTGTAGACCTTAATGAGGCGGTCCTTCTCCCCCAGTTTGACACCGTTCTGGTATCTGAGGAAATCCCTTATTTCCTCGCTGGAGTGTTTGGGGTCCGCTCCCAATAGAACCAGCTCAAAAGGTCTTTCTTTTAAATCCCTGCATTCAACAATCGCACTTTCCCTCAACAGTGTGATCGCTTTGGCTTTGTCCTCCGCTTTCAGGAAGGTCAGGACCACCCCCATCCATCTTTTAATCTGAGTCATCTTGTATTTGAGGCACCCAGTCTCTTAATAACCTCCATCAGGAGGTAACCCTCGGCGTCTCGCTTTTTCTCGACAACGAGCGTCCTCGTTGTATCCTACCTGCTGGATCTCCCTTCCGCAGCCTTTGTTGGTCCTTTGGGGGGGGGGCTTCCTAGGGTCCTGAGTCTCCTTCCCAGGTCCCTTAATGGGTTGGTCTTTCCCTTTAGGCAACTCGCTCCTAGGCTTTGGAGGAATGGGAGGAGCAACAGGCGGGGCCTTATTTGAGGGACCTTTACTTTCTGTGTAAGGACGTCCTTCCGACCTTTTTTGCGCGGCTTTCGTCGCCCGCAATTTTTTAGGGGCCGCTGGGGGTACCTTCGCTGCAGTCACCCCTGGAGAGTTATTCTCCATAACCGAGGCCACCTTCTGCTGGCTGGTATCAGTTGTCATCGCGGTTTCCCCTTCGTCTCTTTTCTTCTTCCTCTCATTCTCATTCTTTCCGCTTGAGGGAACATCAACTTCTTGTTCCCCTGGGGTGGGCTCCTCCATAACCTTGCTCACCTCCCTCTCATGAGCCAAGGCCGTCATAGCGAACCTTACGCTGTCTCTGACCATATCGTCGAAGGTTCCCTTATCTGGAATCAGGGCAATCAGCGCTCTGTTGAGATCCCTCACCTCTGCGAGGGATCCCTCCAGGCTCTTGCACCTGTTCAATAAGGTGGCGAAGCAGGTTTCCAGAAGTCCCATCTGCTTTACCACCACCCTCCTGCCCATTTTCAAGGTTTCGAGGGTGGAGGCAAGGACCAGAGGCACTTCCTCCACCTTGCTCGGGTTTAGCCCCTCCACTTGGCTAGACCCTGCCTCCTCCAGTGGCGTCTGGAGTCCCTTCAGGACAGCCTCCTCCACCGTCAGAGGAGCATCTCCCGGGTCATCCAACGCGCGCGTCCATTCGCGCACGTTCTTCAAGGGTCTTATCTCCTTGGAGGGCCCTTGGTCCTGGGTATCTGGGGCATCAGATCCCTGGGGGCCTTTTAGGGTAGCAACGTCACTAGTATCTAGGATCTCAGTCCTAGCATGGCGTGCGTGCTGACCCAGAGAGGCGATCTCATTGGTGCCGGTCGCTAGCTCGCCTTCATTGGTTGTGTTGGGCGTTACCTCAACTCCGGTTGTCATCTTACTTGAATTCGTTTTGTTCATTGTAAGATGGGTGTTCCAGTTCAATAATGCCATGATTACCACCGGTTCCCAAGGTAACCATGACATAACCGTCTCTCCAGTCTGTCCGACAAGCTGTCAACGTTAGCCGTACTCTGGTTAAGAGACGCCCAGGGCGCACCACGTGGAGGTGTTGATCAGCACATGTAGGTGGCCGTCGAGCCAACCTACTCTACGCAATCTGCAACTGGACGTCACTCCTGTCACAGACTCCTATTGGCACCGCTAACTCTTCCACTGAGATCCACATTGATCTGTCGTGATCAGTTAGCCCCAGCCACCCTCTTTCAGGCTGCCAGGTACAGACCGCTACTACCCGCGAGTCGGGAGCCGAGGACTGCAGGGCTAGGCTCAAAGTCCTACCCACTCTCCATGCGGTCAGAACTTTGACCCCAGGCCCAGAGATAGGGACAGAATAGAAATTTGGCCCAGTAAAAACTGAGCCAGGGACGATATAGGCTTGAACAAGCCCTTGCATCCCCTGTCGCTAACCAAGCCAGAAAGGGAATGATGCATTCTCCATGCACCGAGCGGCCATTGGTAGGCCCCTCGCACCCGCCAGTATGGTCTGGCTACAATGGGGTTGACCATTCACCCACAGGCGTCTCCGAGAGTTCATAGCAAGGTTGCTGACCGAGCCCTCTCGTTCGGACTTAGTTAAACCCGTCCTAAAGCTCCGTGCCAGTTCTGGGTTGACTGTTGGTCGCCTGCCGAAATGGACAAGGTGCAAGCACCCAGCTATGTTTTTTCATTATTTTCGGCAATAAACTTTTTTGTGAATATTTTTATTTCATCTATTTTATCATCAAATTTTTTTTTAATATTTTAAATATATATATTTTTTATTCTTAAGTAAGTTATCAATTTTATCATTAACAGCAATATTTTGGGCATTATCTGGTATTAAGGGAAATGTTTTTAAAGCAACCTTGTTCTCATTTTCAGGCAATTTTGAGTCTGTCAAAATTTTCCCTTCCATTTTTTGAGGGAGTGGCGTTTGGGACTTTGATTATTTGACATAAGAACTTTTCTATAGGTAGTTTCTAATAAATCCTTTAGTTTATTATCTATTAATTAATTATCAAATTTTTTTTTGAATATTTTAATAAATCTTTTTTGACTCTAGAGTAGATCATCAATTTATCATTTACAGTAATATTTTGGACATTGTCTGGTATAATTTTGATGAAATCTACTAAGTATTTCTGAATTAGCGTACAAAGCTTTTTTTGCGCCTCAATTTTCGTATTTTCAAAATTTAAAAAGATGCCATATTCTCCAATAATTTTTAAAGCCTAGGAAACATGTTCAAACATGTTTCATTTATAAGGTGTGTCCAATCAATAATGAGACTGGTCAAAAATAAAGAAAAAATAGAATATTTAAAAAATTTGTATTTTTCAAAATAGCCCACTCCCGCATCTATACATAATTTCCATATCTTCTCTTATGATTTAAAACATTTAGAAAAGGCATCTTTTGGGATGTTCTTCAAGACCTTTTTCGAATCCGCTATGATGGACTCTCTAGTGTCAAATCTCCTTCCTTTTAGAGCCATTTTGATTTGCGCGCGCAATCACATGATGTGATATCCCGCAGTGTAGCTGAAGCTTTCTATTTTTTGAATAGACTTTTAAAAAAAAATTATCATTTCATTTTTTCTTTGTTTTTTTGGCCGGTCTCATTATTTATTGGATACACCTTGTAGATCAGGAATTCCCATTTTGAATGATATTACAATTCAGAAATTAAAACGTATTTGAAAATTTGTTTACTTACCATGATTACAAAAGGTGAAAGTTAAAATGTAAACAAAGGCCTAGCACGTAATTATAGAAGAAGAAAAAAACTATAAAAAATTACATATATTATATGTTTATATATATATATATATATATAGTTTTAAAATATTTAAAATTAAGCCAAAACGAAATTCTTATTGCAGAGCGAATATAAGAGCAACTTCCACTCACAATCCACGACTGAGAATAGCCAGCAGATATTCCTGGGATCACATGACCACACAGGCCCACAAGTCAGAACCCTCCTTATAATGAAACCTATACAGCCCTCTGGTTGGCAGGAGTGTAATTCAAGGTCCACCTTGTATCCGTTCTTCCTCTAGGGTCTCGTATTTCTTGATTTTTGCGGCTCTTGCGGCGGACAGGGCCTCATTCTAGTTTTCAAATGATATGGCCATATCTACCATTGTTACCTTTTTAGTGTCCTTATTTGATGGCATCAATTTTTTGCCAAGGGGTGAGGAGGCTCTCGTCGATCTTCTTGACTTTGGTTTCTAGGTCCTGAAGGGCTTTGCTAACAGACCTGGATTTTGTGAATCCTGTGAGGACACTTAGGTGCAGGTACAATTCGTCATCGCTGGTGCAGGGGCACCTTCGATCTTGAAGGGAGTTGGCAACACCCGTCTCCTACCTCTACAAAGTAGGTAGAGGGTAGCACATTTTTGTGGCTTCATCCTTAGTCTTGCCTTAGCGGCCTTGTCACTGAGGGTGTCTAGTAGAGTGTCCAGGGCTTCTTTATTCCTCGCAGTGATAACAAGGTCATCCGCATAAGCAAGCGTGGTTGTAATCCTATCGAAGACCTTGATTCCTAGGTTCCTACCAAGTTTTTCTAGAGTCCTGACATGGGTTTGATGTACAGGTTAAGTGTAATAGGGCTGTGCAGGTCGTCGTTGGTTCTACTGCACATGATGGTTTTCTCTAAGTTTATTTTTTCTGTCGCTTATTTCCCTATCTTTCAATTAAAATCAAATGGGCATTGAAGTCCCCTGCCATTAATATATTTTTGTTTCCCTAAGAATCAAGCAAATATCACAGAGATGTGGTTCCAGTTTCAGATTGTTGTTTGAACTTAGGAGGATGGTTTATTTTTACTTCTAGGCTGAAAACAGAACTCTGTAAAGAGCACTAGAGAAAAATTTCCCTTGAGCACACCTCATTGATAGCCTGTGGAAAACCTCCCTCCCTTTTGATATTATTTGAAGAAAGCACTCTTCCCCTTGATCACTTATAAACACACCTGGAACACAAATGTAGGAGAGTTCTCCATATTCCACCAATATTATCCTGCAGTCCAGCCCAGCAAATCAGCTCAACGTTGGACCTCTAGTGACCGGCAAAAGCTGCTTTCATGTAATCTGGTACATAGGACACAATTAAGGTATAGATATAAGTGGAAGTATTTTCAGAAGCTTTAATTTATAAGTGTGGATTCTAATCCATGATGTGGAAAAGTACTTATATTTATTCCGTGGTTAGCACAGATCTTCACTATATATTGGATTGAGACATAATAGAGAGACATTTTGTGTCCCAAGATCTATAAGAATTATAACTTATTAATTGATAAAGATTAGAAAATGCTCATTAACAGGAAGCAGTGACAGCAGACCTGGGGATGATTGATTAGCTACAACTAATGACTTGGGCCGAGAGAGATTGAAACTATGGGGAGGGAATGTCTCTATTCCGGCCCAGATGTAGAATAGAAACCAAGGCCAGTAAGAACAAGGAGAGTAGGCAAAAGCTACCTTGAACACAAAGGTTTTGAAACTAAATAAGACACCCGGGACACCTGGAGTTGGCACAACTTGCAGGCGGTATCATGGAACGGGTTAAAATTATCCAGATCACTGGAGGAGTGGACACGGCAATGTTGGAGGACATGCGGAAGGGTCTCGTTCAGAGCTCCACACCTACGGCATTTTTTATTTCTGGTTCCAAATTTAACTGCCCTATTCAGGGGTAGCAGGTTCAGGCGTGCCCTGTGAACGAATCGCCAGTCTGCAAATCGGAAGTATTTACCAGCCGGGATGAAGGCATTGGAGCACTGGTTCTGACAGGTGACCTCGAATGTTTTCCCTTGGTCCCTTTTTAGAAGCAGTGTCTCCAAATAATACTCTTGTAGTGCTTGTCTCAATTTTCCAATGAGTTGGTGTTTCGTGGACGGCCCGATTTTTGTTCTTATCTTGGATTGGGCATCAAGGAGGGCAACTGAGAATGTGCAACTATCTGGGTCCCAGGTCCATCTGGCACGGAGGGTGTTCCTTAATCTTCTTGTGGTGTTTCTGGCCTCAGACCACAGCGACGCCACATCACCACCCTCGCGGTAGAAGCCTTGGTCTAGTCTACCTGAGAGGTAGTCAGCCATGTCCTCGCCGATCGCTGATCTTCCCAGTTTCCTGCTAACTGTTCGTTTGAGGAAGATCTTGGCCAAGTTCTCAGTATTTGCATCCTTGCTCGTAAGCATCTTAAATGCTTGTGTGATCTTGGACAGTTCCGCTCTATCGCGGAAAGGGAGCAGGGGCCTGCTCCTCCCTGGGAGGGTGGAATGTACAGAACCTCATTACTGGCACGTTTGGGGAGGTTGAGCCACTTCTTGGCCAGGGAGATGATGAGTATCGATTCTCCCGAAGTTGGTCTTGTGAATCTGTGCGCCTCGAAGAATGAAGTCCCATTTAGGGTACACAAATGTTTTAATGGCATCAATCTTCTGCCAAGGGGTAAGGAGGCTCTTGTCAATTTTCTTAACTTCCGTTTCTAGGTCCTGAAGGGTTCTGTTGAGAGATCTGGATTTTATAAATCCTGTGGGGACACCCAGGTGTAGGTACGACTCATCCTTCGTCATGGCTGGCACAGGGGCCCCTTCAATCTTGAAGGGAGCTTCTGCCTCTGCATAGTAGGTGGAGGGTAGCACATTTTGGTGGTTCAACTTTGAGACCTGCCTTAGCGGCCTGGTCACTGAGGGTGTCTAGGAGAGTTTCCGGGGCTTCCTTGTTCTTTGCAGTGATGACAAGGTCATCCGCGTAGGCCAATGTGGTAGTGATTCTATCGAACACCTTGAATCCTAGGTTCCTACCAAAGTGTTCAAGAGTCCAGACGATGGGTTCATTATAGATGTTGAAAGTAATCGGGCTCAGGAGGCAGCCTTGCTTTACTCCGCAGAGGATTGGTATTTCACTTGTCGACCCATTCTTGGTTCTAATCGTGGTGGAGGCCCCCTTGTACAGGTCCCTGATAATTTGGATGTAGTTTTCTGGGATGCCTGATGCCTCTAGAGTTTCAAAAATTAGATGGTGGGGTACCGAGCCAAATGCGTTGGCGAGGTCAATCCAACTGATGCAGATTTCTCTTCCTGCGCGCTTCGTCTCTTCAGTCATTGATTCAATCTCTTCAGTTGTGTTCCAGGCAGCCCTCGTATTCGAGGAAGCTTTTTGTGACCTAGAAATTAAGTTTGTGAGGGTCACACGAATCTTTTTATTCTATCCGCGATTATAGCACTGTAAAGTTTACCTATTGTGTTACCCAGTGCTATCGGCCTCCAATTTTCAGGGTTATTTTTGTCGCCTTTCTTGTAGATGAACACCGTGGAGCTTTCTTTCCATTGGGGGAGTATTTTCTGCGATCTGAAGCAGAAGTCAAATACGGCTCTGAGTACTTTGGCGCCGGTGTATAGCCTTTTAAGGTCTGCGTAGGAGAGTCCGTCTGGTCCAGGTGCCGTGTTGCCCATCTTGCTTAGCCTTGTCCAGACCTCTTCGGTTGAGATGGGCTTGCTGAGGAGATCCATGGCTTCGCTTGTGGAGTTGCCATTTGCTGGTGCGAGGAGAGATCTTAATTCCTCCTTTCTGCTGGTGGTAGGCTTTTGGGACATTGTTTTTTTGGAAGTAAGCTTCTAGCGTCTTCTTGGGGATGTTGCAGAGAGGGGATGAGCCTTCCAAGATTTCCTGCATTGTTCTTATTAAAGTTGTAGGCTTTCTGGAGTCTTCCTCTCCTCTTCCTCTTTCTCTGTTGGCCTCCTTGTTCTTCCTATTATTTCTCTTGATTGTTTGTTTTTTAATTAGGTGACTATAGAACTCTTTGATTTTTAAAAATTTTTCTTGGTCATTTTTTCCATCCCCGATTTTCTTAATCCAGACTTCTTGGTGGTTCCTGGGGGATCCTTGTTGTTGTCTTCTTGGCGGCAGTAGGAGGTTAGAAGCTCCTGAAGGTCATCTGAGATCACCTCAGAGATTTCCAGGAATTCCTCGGTATCTTCCGCTGTCGCTTCTTTGCCATGTCTTGTGTTTTGTTGACCAGGTTCCGTCTCGGGAGTGGCCGTTTTCCTTGGGTTGTGAGGGCCTTTAATCGGTGTGCCAGCTGTTTTGGTATTGTCCTTAGTGGTCTGCGGTACCGGAGTCGTTGGCTTGGGGGAGGTCCTGATGGCTGGGCGTGGAGGGGGTTCCTGGTGCGGCGCGCTTTGCGGGGCAGCCGGTTGATTGGGTTCAGTAGGTGCGTTTGTGGTGTCGTTCAGAGATTTGTGTTCAGCAGTAGGGATCCTAACAGGGGTTCTGAAGGGAGTACAGTTGTGAGCTACGTGTCTCTTCATTCCACGAAGGTCGTCGTATGTCCTGCTACATTTTCTGCACATGAAGGTCTTTTCAACACCTGTATGTAGCTTCTTTAGGTGTTTTTTGAAAGTCACCTATGCAGCAATAGCTACCAATCACTTTTGTTCCTGGTTTCCCAAAGCAAAAAGGGCAGTGAAATCTGCTAGCCAGCGGGAAAAGAACTCTTACTGGTCCATTTTCCCGAAGGGGTTTGAGGATTGTGGTCTTGTCTTCCCGGCTGGGCGTAGTTCTACCTAAATTTTCAGAAATTCCAAGGGCAGAGGGTTCCAGATGATCCGAACTGGTAATTGATTGGGCAGCTTCTGAATGCGGCGGAGAGGTTCCTGTAAGAGTTTCTGTGGGTTCCTCTTTCATGATATTCAGCAAAGGTGATAGTTGGATCGCTTGCTCAGGTGTTTGAGGGGAGATTTTTGCACATCTCCAGTGTCACAGTATCTAGGCACTTGCGGTAAACTCCAAACCATCTTGGTTTCGGGAAAACATTCCAAAAAGAGGGGCGGGGTTTGGTTATGTTCACGGCTAGGGGAAAGGCTCGTTCCTATGCTCTCGCGGGAAAACGCACAACATGTGGTAGGTGTTGCGTATTGGACCAGGCTTCTAATGTTATTCACCATATGGTGGTTTAAGTCTCTCCAAGTGGTAATGTTAAAGATGATCACCTTTAACAATCAGCCCCATGATCATCATTTCCCATGATTCACACCATCATAGCTATATTTACACAAAAGTATAATGAGAAAGAAAATTTTAAGATATTATACAAACATATTTACACTTAGAAAAAAACTAACTTGGGAGCATCTAGTTTCTCTGCCAAACAAAAACTATTATTTTCTTTCTAACAAACAAGACATATGCAAATTCTCTATTATTGATTGATTTTTGAACAAGAATTTACATATATAAATTTACAATTTTTTTTTTTTTGAGGACTTCAAGAATAGAAAATATTAAACAAGGTACCAGCTCTTTCCTCCTTCCACCCAACAGGTAAAAAACGGCCTACCATAGGAGAACAATGAGCTTTGTTGGGTTGCTCTAATAACACTAGGGTAGAGACAAGGGCCAGTTCTAGGTAGGAGTGGAGAGCACCCTAGAGTAGATTGCGCGCAAGTGTAATTCACGGGGCTTATTGAGGTAGCAGAATTACTTGTGTATTGCATTTTGCAAGTGAATTTTTGACAAGTAACAAAAGTAAATAATAAAATAAAAAAATAATAGATATATAAAAAATAGAGTAGCGCACTTGAAAACGCAAGTGTCACTAGTTACTAACAAAAAGAAAAAAAAAGACTTACAGTATAGTTCTCGATGTAGAGTTCCTGGAGAATTTTGTGGGCGTCGAGGAGCAGGTTTCAGTTCTTCGAAGAGTCTTCAAATTAAGCTGATAAGAACAGA